GGCATTGGGGTTAGAGAGAGAAATTATCAACAGATTTTCCTCAAAAAACTCAGTCTCTGGGGGTAAATAGGTTTCCATCAGATCTCCTGCTGGGAAATGATGGGATCATTTTTTAAATTGTTCTGATACTCAGAAGAATTCAACCAAAAATCTTCCTAATTACAAAAGGTTCTACTGTGAGTGCAGAGAATTTCTCTAATAATTTAATAAAACAGATGAAAATGAGAAACTGTCAAATCCCGTGGAACACCTGAGGCTTCACCAAGATAACAAGGCTTGTTGTCTGGGGATGTACAAGCCACCCAACCATCCAAGAGAAAGGTTAAACGAGGACTTGAATAACGGAAGTGAGGAGGATATTAAACTTTGGAGGCCTGTAAAAAACTGCGTGGTGATTAGTAATATTAATAATCATCTATAATAATAGAAGTGTAATATGCAAATTGACCAAACAGCCAAACAGTGGAACGACCATCCAGACAACCACGGTATGACACCTACTGGCACCAGGCCAACCAAGGCGGGTGCGATGCAATTGGTCAGGGGCCCCGCCATTGCCTCATGATTGCCCCGCAAAGGAAGGCCCAGGCCACAGGCCAGCAGAGCAATCATTCGGGGGCTCCACTATCACCCCAAACAGGGAGGTCCAGGCTACCCCGCGGCGGTGCTGTGGTGGGTGGGCAGGGCCTCCCTCTGTGGGGGCAATCCATTGTGGAGCCCTGGCTGGGTGAGCAGGGCCTACCTCTTTGGGGTGATCGATCGCCCCACAGCGGAAAGTCCAGGATACCTGGCCGGAGGCACTGCAGTGGGTGGGTGGGGTCTCCCTCTGTGGGGCGATTCATCGTAGGGCTCCCAGACTGCAAGAGTGCACAGGCTGGGCTGAGGGACCTTGCCCCCAGTGCATGAATTTCATGCACTGAGTCTCTAGTCATCATAATAATGTTAATGATATCTAAACACTGTGACAAACCTTATATGTACTTAATTAACATATTTAATTCTGCAGGTGGGGACGACTATTTTTCCCATTTGTGGATGAGGAAACTAGCGATTACAGTAAAGAAGAAATTTCTGTTTATGGCAGTGTGGCAGACTAAGTAACCTGAAAACTAAAGTCTACAAAGCATTAGACATGCTAAATAGAATGACACATCTGTTTCATCACAAAATGGAAATAGCAAGTAATTTGATCCTCAAAGTATCAAAATCAAAGAGTGAACTATATGTTGGAGCCATCAATAGATATTGCCGCTATCCCTTGGGGGCTGATTGGGACAAGTGGCTGTACTCACTGAGCAAAGAGCTTGGATTTTGATGGCCACAGGAGGATAAAAGATGAGGTGGTGGGCCTGTGTGGAGTGGGTAGTCAGTACTGAGACTCCTCTACATAAAGTTGGGAACTTAAAAGAGTTACAGCCTCAGTACAAAAAGAGACAATAGACAGAAATCCATCCACTGGGACAGAAAGACCATAAAAAAACCTATCTCTCTTAGGCTCTGGGTGGGGTGGGGGACAATGGCTACTCAGAGAATTTGTATCCATGGATCTTCCATCACAAGAGTTTGGGGTTCTAATATTCATTTACGGAGTGGTCCAGGAAGCCCAAAAATAAGAACTTGACCTAAAAAAATTATCCTAAGCAAGAGATATATCCTAGGCTCCTAGTAGAACCAAATAAAGACATACCTTTAACCTGGACCATTCCAACTCCCACAAATAAAGCCTTTCTGAAAACTAGTCTACAATCCAAAATCATAACATAATAGGAAAAAGGTCCATCACAAATAAAAATCAGCAATCATAATAAACAGTAGGAAGACCTCCAAGTAATAGAAACTATTAAAAACTATAAAACTAATAAAAACTATAAAATATTTAAATCAATTGAAAACATAAATGAATTAATAAAGCATAAGATCAAGATACTACCAACAAAGATTTGTGAAAAAGAATCTCTAGAAAATAAAAAGAAAATTATTGAAAATAAAATCTTGGCCCAGCCAGTGTGGCACAGTGATTGAGCGTCAACCTATGAACCAAGAGGTCACAGTTCGATTCCCGGTCAGGGAACATGCCTGGGTCGCAGGTTTGATCCCCAGTTTGGGGTGTACAGGGAGTAGCCAATCGATGACTCTCTCATCATTGATGTTTCTATCTCTCCCTCTCTCCCTCTCCCTTCCTCTCTGAAATCAATAAAAATATTTTTAAAAGATTTTAAATAAAAATAAAATTATAGAAAAAGTATGTTTAAAAAACCTGAGCTATATTAGTATAAGGCAATTTTGTAAGTAAAAGCGTTAAGAATTAAGGAGGATTCTTGCATAATATTAAAGAAGCAATTCATCAGGAAGAGATAAAAACCATACACACCTTTTACTCACCTTATAAACATAATCTAAAATGTACTTAAAACAAAATAAAATGACAGAACTATAAAGAGAAAACAGACAAATCTCCAAAATTTTTTCAGTGATTAAGGAGACAAAAAATTAGGAAAGAGCAAGGTTGATCTGATGAACATCATATCGATCCCTGACTCTTGAACATTTAGAGAGTACACATCCTTTTCAAGCTCACAGACAAAGTTATAAAACCTGTCCACTTAGTTGATCACACAGCAAGTCTCAACAAATTAGAGGCCACAATGCATAAAAGTGAGAAATCAATAATAAAAAACAACTTAAATAGAGAGATTTGAAGATAGCAGCGTAGGTAGAGAGATTAAACAAAGATCTTATATGCATATATGCATTACCTATGGACACAGACAATAGGGTGGCAAAGGCCTGGGGTGGGGCCAGAACCAGATGGAGGGGGGTAATGGGGGGGGGAGAGGGACATCTGTAATAATCTCAACAATAAAGATTAAAAAAGAAAAAAAGAAGAAAAACTTAAATACATATACTAGTATATTTAGAAATTAAAAGTTGTGAGGTTTTTTTGGTTACCATGGGGAAAATAGTAAATATTTTTTAAGAGTTACTCAAGTCATATTTAGAACAAAAAGGAAATACCACGTTTCAAAACATATGGGAAGGAACTAAAGAAATTAAAGGACATTTTATAGCTGTAAATGATTATATTAGAAAGGTAGATTGAACATTAATGACCTGAGCATCCATATTAAGTAGTAACAGAACTGAATAAACCCAAAGTACATAGAAGGAAGAAAGTAATAAAGTTAGAGCAGTCAAGGAAATATGAAACAGACTTATAATAGAGAGGTTTGGCAAAACACAAAATCTGGTTCTTTTTAAATCTAACAAAGTGATAATAGCTGGAGAGGGAGGTGGTGAAGTGGTAGAAAGCATGGGCTCTGGAGCTGACTGCCTGGCTTGGGTCCCCACTCTGCCACTTACTAGCCACACGGCCCTGGACATGTGACTCGTGCCCGGCAATGGTGGAATCACAGCTCAAACCCTGGGCTGCTGGACCCCAGTGCCCAGGCACTAATGGGTTATTCTTATGACAGGATTTCTAAGTAGTGGACTCTGATGAGAGAGCCTTCCTCCCATAATGAAACTGAGGCTTATTATCCCAATTTAACAGATGGAGTAACTGAGGTTTGAAGGATTTAGGTAATTCTCCCCAAGTCATGAGATAAAGAATTGGAGCGGACTCAAGACAAGATCTTTCCTGAAGCTGGTCCTCTTAACTATCATGTTCATCTATAAGACAATAGGAACATCTCTGCTGACCACTCAGCACAGCAATACCCTGGAAAGCTACTTGCTGTATATCCAACTTCAGGGAAGATGTCTTTTTTAAGGTAGAATGTAAAGGGAAGAGGCAAATGCCCCTTGTTCATATACAGAATTTTCTACTCTTTCTTGCGATAAACCCAGTGGTTAAGATTATGTGCTTTGGCCAAAACCGGTTTGGCTCAGTGGATAGAGCGTCGGCCTGCAGACTGAAAGGTCCCGGGTTCGATTCCGGTCAAGGGCATGTACCTGGGTTGCGGGCACATCCCCAGTGGGAGATGTGCAGGAGGCAGCTGATCGATGTTTCTCTCTCATCGATGTTTCTAACTCTCTATCTCTCTCCCTTCCTCTGTAAAAAATCAATAAAATATATTTTTAAACAAACAAACAAAAAGATTATGTGCTTTGGAATTAGAAATATTAAGGATAATTGCTAATACTTATTAGACACTTACTATATGCCAAGCATAATGCTAAGCTCTTTCAATCTTCACAACATCCCTTTTCACATCAATTATTATCCCGTAATACTAAGAACCTCAGGTGCAGAGAAGTAAACCTCACATGGCTACAAATTGGCAGAGGCAGGATTCCATCCCAGGCCATCTCACACCAGAGCTTACAGTCTTCTCCACACGAAACTCCTGGGACCCAATTTCCTCATCCCATTGATTGGAGATGACAGCACCCAACCTCATGACCTCCGAGGAGGAATTGAGACAAGGTAGGTAAAGCCACCAGCACAGTATCTGGCAGGATGACGATAATGGTGCTGACGGTGATGACAGCAGGTACTTGCAAAGATCTAAGCCTAAAAGGATGGTGCCATTCCTGATTGCTCCAGAATAACTAACTGCCTAAAACCCTCAAAAAGAAATCTTTCTTTCCATTTCACTCCCACAAATCTTCAAGAGGGCATACTGTGCTTTATGTGAAAGCTCATTTTCAAAATCAAAATCATGGCATTGCACATTACGTGAGGATATGAGGAAAAGTATTTAAATGAATCTAACAAAGAGAACGGTAGAGAAGTTGGAGTGGGGGAGGGAGCGCGCATTGCCCAGTGCAATAACTCTGGCCTTGAACTTGTTTTCCAGAATTCTTGAAATATCAGTGATGGCAGAATAAACGACCAATTAATCAGGTTGTTTGTTCTCTGTGTGTGAGTCGCTGTTGCCATCTACAGTTAAAAATGGGGCATGCAACCCTGTCGAAGAATCCTAAAAAAACACAGTCCTGGAGGGGGCGCTGTTCAGAAAACGTGCTTGTTCAATGAGAACAGAAAGGGAAAACGCTACCTGGAGGAGCAGCTCTTTCTCCACCACCTCTTCTGTCTTGCTGATGAGACGCTTCTGCAGGGTGTGAATTTTCTCTATCAGCTCATAGGTAGTGGGGTCACTGGCCTGTTCAAGGGAACAAAAAAGAAGACATTGAGACACCATCATTTGAGGTCCCTTTGCAAAAGAATTACTGTTTTATTGAAATCTACTGCACACCTGCAGACCCAGTACAGAGAGATGGATATGTAACAGATGAGATGGTCGTCAAAACAGACCGATGTTTGGCTAATGTCTTATCTACTGACTCTGCTTGGCCAAGAGATGGAAAGTGAATACGTTTGCTCCATCAAGGAAACTACTACTACTGATAACAACAGCAATAATGATCTACTGCGCATGATCCCTGATTCTTTGTCACCAACCAGACACCATGCTAAGTGCTTTTCCTCCATGATCCAATTTTAGCCACACAACAGCCCTACGAGGTAGCATGAGTCTTTCGCTTTTACAGATGAGACATGAAACTCAAAGCACTAAGTTATTCACCCACACAGATAAGGATTCAAGCCCAGATATGCCAGGCTCTAATTACTATGCTCTGAGGTTTCCCCTCCCATCAGCTCTGTTTCCATGGGAATGAGACAGGGTTCCCTATTCATTCAGCCTCAGGGTTCTCCTTTGATACTGTCAACAAGGAGACGCCTTACAGCCTATGATGGGGAAGCTTTCTAGGATGTGGACTTCTGCTAATAACTGACAACAGAACACGTCCCTGGCATTTCGCTCTCAAACAGTGTTATCAATCCATAAAGGTTTGATGCACCTTCAGTAACTATCTGTGTACAATTTAAACAAGATCTACACTTATAAATTGATATTCTGTCAGCTAGACTTGGAGCCAAAGCTTCCCTTTCAACTGTATTGACATTTGGAATTAATCTAACAGCTAAATCTTTTCAACTGCCTCCCACAATCTCTGTTTTCTAATTTTTAAAATAGAAATTGACATGGAATTGGAAACTTTAAAGCCCTGCTTGCAAACACATGGAGTAAACTAATGTGACAGTAAATGGATTTTAAATCTTCAGCTCCACTCCCCTACACATCCACATTACGGTTAGTTCAGTAAACTACACCACTCTTGGCATTTGAAGAGGAATAAATGAGGGTCCAAAAGAGTGGGGGGGGAGAGATTCCATTAACTCTGGCTTTGCTTACAAAATACTAAGCAGTGCCGAGTGAAACGCATACGCTGGGACTGCATTTGGCACACACTTTCACTTGGCAAGACTGGATGTTGTTCAAATTCAGGCCCCATGTTTATATAACAATTTATAATGCATTATCCTTAATGCCTTTCTTCATTAAGAAGGAAAACTGAAAATGAAAAACCAAAAAACACCTTGGCTGTTTTTTTACCCTTGCCCTGCTTTTTCGGAAAAACACATACTCTCCCAATATCCTAATTGTTCAATGAGTCGAAGCCCCTACTGGTGCCCACATTGCTGGGCACAACAAGAGGCTATGGCCACCTTTTATTGAATAAGCAGAGACTGGTTTCAACTGTTACCTGCGGTGCTGGTGGTAACATCTATCAAAAAGTTATAAAATAAAATAGGAGGTTTACCTCGGAGATACCTCGGAGATACTGCAGGTTCAGTTCCAGAATAAAGCGTGTATCACAAATAAAGCAAGCAAGTCATGATCTTTTTGCTGGTGGACGGGTTTGCCTTCATTGTGTTTAAAAAAAAAATCAACACTGGTGAAGAGCAATAAAATGAGGTATGCCTCAATTATCCATCGCCTACCAATGGACTTTGTGCTCCCAAGATCCTAAGGGAGAAGGTTTGGCTAACACAATGCTAGTCCCTCAAAAAGAAGGCAACTTCACAAGAGCCTTATTTCCTGCATGAAATAAAAAGATGCAAAGACCAACTGAAACATGGTTGAAGACACTGATGGCCAATGTAAGTAGAGGCAACAAACTACCTGAGACTAACAGACAGCCACAGGATAGCTATGTGAGCAGAAAATGGCAAAAAGAGAAAAACGAATGTCCATTGGTGAAGCCAGTTCACGACTTCCACTAAGTCTTCTTTAGGCAGAAAGAACTGTGTCCAAGACAGCTTAGACCAGCGGTTCTCAACCTGTGGGTCGCAACCCCTTTGGGGGTCAAACCTGAGACTAACAGGCAGCCACAGGATAGCTATGTGAGCAAAAAATGGCAAAAAGAGAAAAACGAATGTCCATTGGTGAAGCCAGTTCACGACTTCCACTAAGTCTTCTTTAGGCAGAAAGAACTGTGTCCAAGACAGCTTAGACCAGCGGTTCTCAACCTGTGGGTCGCAACCCCTTTGGGGGTCAAATGACCCTTTCACAGGTGTCGCCTAAGACCAATCGGAAAACACATATATAATTACATACTGTTTTTGTGATTAATCACTATGCTTTCATTATGTTCAATCTGTAACAATGAAAATACATCCTGCATATCAGATATTTACATGACGATTCACAACAGTAGCAAAATTACAGTGATGAAGTAGCGATGAAAATAATTTTATGGTTGGGGGTCACCACATCAGGAGGAACTGTATTAAAGGGTTGCAGCATGAGGAAAGGTTGAGAACCACTGGGTTAGACAATCCCCAAGTGAACCATCTGCTTCTGGGAACTCCTGTTCTTCTTCTGGGAACTCAGTTTACATTCGATCCACGCTGACATTTTAGGGAACAATTTGCATCACATTCAACAAAACCGCTTGCTGTGCTTCAGCTGTGAAGCCCTGTGGGGTAGCAGAAGGGACCGGGGCGTGGGAGGAAGGCTCCGCCGGGGTTACCTCGAGCTTCCTCCACCTGTGCACGTTCATGGGGTTCTCCAGCTCCTCCTCCAGCGCGCGGCAGCGTGTCCGCTCCTTGATGAACTCCCTCTGCATGTGGAAAAGCTCCTGCCTGAACAAGGCACACTTCATTTGCAAAGGAATGCTCTACCCATTTGAAAATCACATCTTTATGGGGTTCTACATATATGCTACACCTTATATAAAAAGTTGGAAGTAAGGAGACTTCTATGAACACTGACACCAGACTCCTAACCGGAGCCAGACACAGAGGATACCGATTCCTGCAGAGCTCAAACTTCAGGCTTAGCTTAAAAAAAAAAAAAAAGTGCCAAAACTTCAGAATCATGATTCTGGACACCCAAGGAATTTAGAAGTTTCTGGAAAGAAAAGGGAGGAGGTGAATTACAAGGATTTCAATATACTTTTTAAAATATATTTTTTATTGATTTCAGAGAGGAAGGGAGAGGGAGAGAGAGAGAGAAATATCAATGATGAGAGAGAATCATTGATCAGCTGCCTCCTGCATGGCCCTCTTCTTCCCCCTGCAACTGGGGATCGAGCCCAACACTTGGATATGTGACCTTGACTGAAATCGAACCCAGAACACTTCAGTCTGCAGGCTGATGCTCTATCCACTGAGCCAAACCAGCCAGGGCTCAATATACTTTTTAATGTTTCTAAATGTCTTTACAAGTAGCAACAAGAGAATAACCTACATTGCACCACAAGGTATGGTACCTGACTGCAAGATATTGAGGCTCAGATGATAGCCTGACACCAGGTATGCCAGGGCATTGCCACCCTAATTGCCCATTAGAATCACCTGGGGAGGTCTGACAGCATGCTTTGCCTGGCCCTTATCCCCAGAGAGATTCTGCTTTACTTGGTCTTGCATGTGGCTTGGATTTTGTAAGTTTTATAATTCTAGTGGTAATTTCTAAAAGGCACCCAGGATTGAGAAACACTGAGTTAGGAGTGATGTTTGCTATTATATGGTATTCCATAACTACTAGTACACAGATGGCTGAAAGACTAGCTCTGGCTCAAACTAAAATCTGTGGGATCTCTGGTTAGTAGGCAATGTGCTTCAGGCATCTCCAGTACCCCATGAGTTGGCTACCACCCTATTGAACAAGTCACTTTGTTGGTGGGGGGCGGGGCGGCGGAGAAGAAACAAGCACTGGCATTGAAACGGGCAGTTAGGATGGACAACACGGAATTATTATCTGTCCTCTGCTGTGGGTGTGCAGATTACCAATACTAAGCCATCTCTTTCACTTAATTGCTTCATTTAAACCAATAATACAACTTCCCCTCATTAGCAAGGCAAACCATTAGAATTAACAGCATAAGCCTCACTCAGCAGGGAGCTCAGAACAAGCTGCTTGGAATTAAAAGCATATTTTTAACACTTCTATTTTCTAAAGTGCCATCAGAAGAGAAGGGCAAGAGCAGGAGCTACTAGACTCTGTGGGAGGCACATTCTGTTTGTTTTCGTGTTTAATTTTAACTACAAGATTAAAGCTCAGAGACGTTAAGTGACTTTCCCAAGGTCACACAGCTTGAGATTAGAATTCATGCCTGCTTGCCTCCAATATCTTTATTAAGTTGTCTTCCCATTGAAAATAAAAATAAAATCTATTATCAACAAACCAGCAATCCTGACTAGGAATGGGTAGAATCTGGTCCTTTGTATATGTAATAAAAATAACTCATGGCTGGCAAGTTTAGCAATGGTCTCAGAGATCATTCAATAGCTACTTAGAATGAATCCATTTGTCTCCAAAATGCCAATGATGGTATGTATCTCTGGGTAGTAAACTTATGAATAATTTTTCTAAGTCCTTCTTTGCGTTGTTTCTGCACTTCCCACATTTTCTACAATGAATTTGTATTACGCTTATCATCTCAAATACTAGCAAATCTTAGGGGGGAAAAAGAGTATTGATATATCTTTGGTAGTGGCATCTTCCTTTGCTATTTCTGAACATATTCACTGCATCTAAACATCAAAACTATTTTCTAATTTGATTAATTTAAGAAGGCAACCCAAACGGTGTCCTTGTTCCAAGGTTGTCAAGGATACTGTTCATCTACAAGTCTGTGGGGACTAAAGAGAGTTACTGAGAAAACACCAAACCTCTTATTTGGTTCCTGCAATTGCCTATATAAAACATGGTGATGTTTTCCCAAAGGGAAAGTACATCCTACATAGTGTAAGATTTAAAGCAAGAAGAAGGCGCACTAAGCTAAAGTGAAAGCTGCAGAAGATAAATCAAGAGTGAGAAATAAAATTTGGCCACCTTCTAAGGAAACAGAGTTTTCAAATAGTGATAAAATTAAATTTACCCCCCTTTTCATTCTGAATATAATTCCAAGAGAAAAAAATGTGCAAATGTTACCAGGATTAAATTTAAATATTGATGTTCCATCTCTTGGGTACTGCCTTATTAAAGAAAGTCTAAAGAGCTCACTGGGGGAAATTTTTTTTCTGAATTGTAACTAGTTCGTATTTGTGATTTGATTTGAAATTT